CCACTGCAGCAGGGGCTGCAGCCTATGCCGTTGCCGGCGACCCATGGCAGCCCACCTCCAGGTTGAGCTGTTGTTCAGCATCTTAGCTGTGGAGGGCAGTGTTACTGGCCCGCATATGTGGGATCCAAACCGGGGCCCTCTGGCATCCTAAGCCAGTTCTTAACCAACGCGCCACTCGGCCGGACCTACTTTCCTTACCTTTTAACCTATCATTTTTTCCTTGGTTGCATTATTTCTATATTGTCAGAGAACATTTATATTCTATTCCATCAGCGTTATCCCTGCTTTGTTTAAGTCTTAGTTCAGTTAAGTATATGCTTTGTCACTACTAATATTTTGCCAAAGTCTGCCCAATCATTTCTTGGTTGGCTAAACTCAGATTGATTGATCCTTAGGACAAAGTTCTTACATAGTCAAAACTGTCTGAAGAACTGCTTGATTGGATGGAAACATCCTTGGCTCACACTCTCTTTCCTTGAATATTCACAGATGGCATTCCACCGTTCTCTGGTATTCAGCGTAGCTATTGAAAAGTGTGATGCCAATGTGGTTTTCTTTTTCTTATGCCTTTGTCTTTTGCCTGGAGGTTCAAAGTATTCTTTCTTTATCTCGGTGTCAATTTTCTGGGTCCATCTGAGACAGGCTGTCCTAGGTACATGCTGTGCCCTTTCAATATGTAAATTCAAGTCTTTCTTTGTCCCAGAAGTTTTTATGAATTATGGTTTAGAGCAGAATTAGTACCACTGCTTCGTTTCTTCCTTGGGGACTCCAACAATAGGTATACTGGATCTCTACCACTTTCTACTGAATTCTTTATGCATCCCTATTTCTGCCTTCTTGTCTTTGTCTTTTTCATCTCTATCCTATATGTCCTTTATTGTGCTTTTATAATAACTTTCTCCTTGTAATCTACTCCACGTTTCTGAAATGGTTTAGCTTTTCCTTCTATTTCTTTCCCATGTTGCATCAGATCCATTTCACATCCTCCTTAGTCTGGCCATCTCTTTTTAGGGTCTTGTGCTTCTGCTTTGTGGTATTTCTTCCTAGCTTTGACTGCTTTATTAAGTTTTGCTACCTACCACCTACCTACCTACCTACTTATTTATCTACCTACCTACCTGCCTATCAGTTCACTTTGGAGTACAGGTTACAATTTTGATCTCTTTTGTGGCAAGATTTTTTTGGATGCATTTTCATCATGTATAGGAAAGTTATACTTACATTTTTCTCCCTTTTGCTTAAGGTATTTATGTATGGAAGGCGCTGAATTCCTTTGAGATGAGATGAGATTCCTGGAAGGGTGGGAGCACTGGCTGATTCAGTCAGGTAACCTGCTAAGCTTTACATACCGCCTCTCTCGTAGCTCCTTCCTTGGCTGTCTGAATCCAGCCAGTTTGGAAGGGCTTCTGCTTGTAGTTCTGAGTTTTCTAGATATAGTCATAGGCCTGGCTTACAGGGTGAGGTCCTCACTTTCACAAGTCATATTTTGCTGGGGTTTCATGAGCTGTCACCTCTGGATTTTCTCAAGCCTTTTCCAGGTCTCTTCTCTCTACTTCCCTAGAGTTTCAGCCTTGTCTATCCTGGCTCTGACTCATAGGTTTCCTCTCTGGGTGGCTGGGTGGCCTCTTTTTATTATTCCTATTCAGATGAACTCTAATGTGATGGATTCCCAAG